CTGTGTCTGTTACCAAAGATAATTGGCCATATTTATGAGGCATTTTAGCCTTTTATGCAGGGCATATTTCCTTTGCCATTTGTGCATCTATTACCACAAATTTCTTTAGCTCGGACAACTATGTTAGTTGTAGTGGTCCACAATTGTTTTAGGCCTTGTTTTTGTGGCATACGAACTTCCTTCCGTAAGCAATTTCATGCTCATTTTGTGGGCGTTCAAATTGGTTTATTGTCCTCCAGGCCAGATGCTAGAGCCACAATATAAAAAAAAAAAAGATGACCGAAGAAACAACAAAAACTGTCCTCTGGTCATTCGAGCCAGTCCAAGGCGTGGATATCTTTATGTTCAGGTGATTAACGCTGTGGCTTCTGTTTGATATCTCGGCTCCTTTTACCACCAGGCGGCACAGAGAGATTTATAGTAGTTTTGTATGGTCGATTTTATCTCCTATGGAAGCAGAAATAAGGGCAACAGCAATGAATTAATTTTAATGTAGACAAGGATGAATTTGCTGGGTTTATGTATATCTATCATATTGAAAGAGTTGTAGTATATCATAAGAAGAAGAATAATTTATTAATTTATCTGAGATATTTATTCCAATATAATATTTTATATTTTAATTTATATTTTTAAATTATTTTCAGCATTTTTATTACCATTATTAACAATATTTTAATTGATATTTCTATTAAAATATACATATGTTTATTATTATTATACATTTTAAAATGAATTTAAATATATATTTTAAAAAATATGAAGTATACAATATAAATATATGAAATAATAAATATATCCTAAAAATATTTAAAAAGCGATATATTTTAATTATATATTAAAAATCATTGAAGTTTGGTTGAAAACTGTGTACAGCTAAAACTATTTAAATTACGAAGTGATCTGCTCTGGTCACCTCTAAAGCCGCTCACTGAACCCTGAACCCCGTGCCCGAACCCTTTGCTCCCGAGTGTGTCCACATTTCCATCTACTATTTCACAAGAGCTGCGCTCACATGAGGTCGTTTACCGGTCCGAGAGATGCTGCGCGCAGCCACGAGGAGATCAACAAAATGTTTAACCCCTTTTAATTTGGCCATTATTGTGGCCAACAAATAATGTTATATTTCAGTTTTATATTTTTTTATGAAAAAGTTGCTACACATAAGCAAAAGCCGCAGTTAAAAAAAAAAATAATAATAATAATAAAAAAAAAAGAAACCGAAATGGAATGAAGTTTCGCAAACAAATATATTAAAATGTCAACTAGGCAAATGTCAATATGCGGGGTTGATTCGGCACAACATCAATTATATTATTCATCGAGTATAATTTGTTCCCCTACTCCGATTTCTGTTTTGTGATCTCTGCCGGCTTTCATTTAATTGTCGCCAGCGATTGGCGGGAGGGGCTTGGGTTAAATGCATTTTGATTTTGCAACTGGCAACTGGCAACTGGCAACTGGCTGGGAAGTTCGTGATCCGCGAACTCTTCGGTAATCGGCTTGACATTTACAAGCCGCTTGCACTTTTGGTTTTTAATTAGATGAGGCCCAGGCCGGGGTACGACTAGCCGGTTGGGTGGTCTCCCAGCTCTGGGGCTTGCGACTCTGGACTCTGGCTCTGCTGATTATCGACGCCAGCGCTTAGATCTTGCCGTCGATTAAGCTGCTTAATGGCATTAACATGATTAAGTAAGTGCCGGGCAGAGAGTGTGTGGACAGGGGTCCAGTCACCCGCTGGTTGCCCTTTGGAGGCGGCCCAAAGGGGGGCTTTGCACTCCGCACGCGCACTTGCCTTTCATTCATAATTCTCTCTTCGCGTATAGGAAAACAACTTCTGCGGCAGCTAATTGAACAATTGATCTCTGATCGCGCATTCATAAATGTGAATGTGAATGCTAAGTGAATGCATATGAAAGCGAAATGAATAGGCCAGAGACTAGTCGACTAGCTGCTCAGCTTCACTAGTGCTCGAGCTTGCAGTTTAGGGGTTCAATTGTTATTTTTTCGGCTCTCTGGCCGAACTGGTCGGGCTTTACTCCTGGGGTGGTTCGTGTCAAAGGTCAAACTGCACGAAAACTTCCCATGGGTCAGTCTGCTTTTTGGGCATAGAAAACTCGTTTCTGCACCAATTTCAATAACCTTTTTTTGGCATTAAAATTTTAATATGACCTTTGAACTTGGCCAAGGCCCGTTTGAGTATAGGCCAACAGACTATATATTGTATACGTATGTATATAAGTATTTCGAGAATAAGTTTTCTCGTTTTTTGGTGGGAAAGCGTCCAGCAGCAGCTGCACAAGAAACAACCAGAAATTTATCAGTTATCAGCGGTTTCTAAAGCAAAGTCTGGCGTGTGTAAATTTGTTCAAGTCTATTTGCAGTTAGCGGCAAGATTTTCTTAGCTGAAGTCCCAACTATTTCATGAAAGAGATATGCACTGCGTTACGCAATACACCCCGACTTTCTCACCAAATTTATTTTTATGAATGAACTCACTTAGAGACTTACAGTCCCCCAAAAGCTCTGCGGCCTGAAGGAAGTGCGAGTATGCGTAATGCAGTAAAAGCCAAACAATCGAGCAAAACAAAGAGAGAACAAACGAGATCTTCTAAGTTTATCAGAATGCAAATATTTGACATCATAATAGAGCAGTGCAGTGCAACTGGGTCGTCGAACGAGACACAAGTTTAGATGCGCATTGGGCTGTGGGCCAAGCCAAGCGTATGCACAATGTTGTCTCCGTTGATCATTTCGTAAATACCAGAGGTGAAAAATGTTGTGGGAACTATTTGGAAAATCTATCTTGCACGCTGACTAGCGGAAGTCTGAGATAAGAAGCTGCGGTTCCGTTTAGCAATGAAATGCTTATAATTGTAATGATGATATAATTATAGATATGCATTTTTGTTATCATTGTGGAATAGTGCATGAGGAGAGAGAGAGAGAGAGCTATTTAAGAAATCAAAAGTATTTGGGAATAAAAAATATGTAACAGAGCAATCTTGCCTAGTCGACTCTCACTAGAGCTCCTCATTATCTCAGACAGCAATGTTAACTAAGAATTCCAATTATGTCCGCCCGTATCACACATGAGTTCTTAAGCTACTCACACAGTTGTCACTTTGCTGTAATTTACAAATATAAACTGCTTAAGTGATTCGTTTACATTCCTGAATAACATCTGTGAGTCTGTCATTTAGGGCTTTCATTATTGCTTTTAATGCAAATCGAATTCCATGCGATACGCTTCACATCCGGTCCTCAGTATGCAAAGCTAGCTATACGATTTCTTAAGCATTACATTTCTCGAGCCGGTTAATTACTTCCTTGTGAAATGCAAATCGCAGGCATTAGGCATGCGCGATTGACCACATCGGGTCTTATTTAGTAGGTAGCTCTGCCACAGCGGAACCAGGTTATTCAACACCTTCGAGGCAACCCTCTCGAATCGAAGTCGCAATTGCTGAAACCCAATCATTCGCTCACATTGTGCGGCTTTGATTGCCAGACGGTGTCGAGTTTCGTGCTGGAACTGGAGCGACAGTTGCCAATGGCCAACTCCTGTTGGCAGGGTTTGCGGTCAATAAACGACCCTTTAGGGCTGGCACACAATATTTAATAACAATTGATATAAATATTGAAAGTATTATTGAGTCATAATTGACCAAAAGCCAAAGGGTTGCATTCGTTTCGTGAGAGGTTTCCAGTGTCTTTTGAGCTGCGACTATAAATAGATACAGTTAACTCGTAATCTTTATCTGCGTACCAGCTTATCTCGAGTTAGATTTAGCTCGGGTTCTTGGAAATTGAGTCACTTGTTGCTTGGGCGGGCAATAAATAAAATTTGTTCAATTGGAAACTGCATCCATATCTGTGCGATAAGCCACAGCATCATCTCGCTTATCGACTGCGAACTAGAGCAGGCGGGGAAGCAGAGCGTGTCCGCGGCAGATAACACTCGATCCTATCTCCGCTTACAGTTCATTAGAATCATAAATAAGTCAACAGCATGGCGTGATAGCAAAGGATTTGTGTATGTTTTTTATTTGATTGGAAAAGTTCTGCTGAGGTCCCCACATCCTCATCCTGCCCCTGTGACTGCATATGCATATATAATAAAATGTCACATATTTCTCACGGAAATGCTTTCCTCTCCTCTTCTTTCTGTTTTTCTCGTACTGTAACAAATTCCAGCGAGTGCAGGGAGTACACGCCTTCGGGCAGGAATTCCCCCGTTTATAGTTAAGCGCTGTTCGGAATCGATTGGGTCTCCACCATAAATTGTGATCTTCCACGGGCAAATTGTCGTAGATCCTCCACAGGAATACGATTGTCGTTTTTTTAATGCCTCTCCAGATGTTCACTGAGCACTACACACTACCATGTGTCGAGGTTTCTCTACTCATTTAAATACGGTCGTTTGGGGGTTTTCTCTTCTCTGTCTCTCTCTCTCCCGGTTCGTTTCTCACACTCGTGTAGCTAATTTGTGATTTCTGGTGTTTTCGGTGTTGGATTTTTGGTTGCGTGTTTGTTTTACGGTTGCTTTGTCAACTATTTTCCGGCTATTGATTTCATAGTCGCTGCTGTTGTTGTTGTTGTTGTTGTTGTAGCTGTTGCTTTATTGACACTCGAGTGGATGGATGACGTGCTAGTGCCGCAAGATCTAATGATTTATTGACATGTTTACCATACCGAGGTTAGAGGGTGTGACGTCAGGTTTACCAAATGGGAAGTGAGCCTAGCTGGACCAAATGAGCGTTGATCGAGTTGAGAAGATTGATAGAACAATCGATCAAGTTCTAGTCGAGTGTTTTTTATACTCTGTTAACTTTCACATATATCTATTCTATGCACATATTCTATAAATTATTCTAGTCTCCGTTCGAGTTGATCGGGTGGAAAATATAAAATTGACAAACCGTAGATCGTCATCCATTTCTCATATATAATCTATGTGTAAGCTCTCTTAGTTACTTTTGCTCTCGTTTTAGGTCATCAGAGTGCTCGCTCATCCTGAGAAGACTTCACTTCCTACACCTGTTTCGAGCCACAGCGTAACCTGCCTATGCAAACACATCCTGTGTCCGGGTCGCCAGGAAATCCAACTGCTCCAAAATCACGTAAAATATTCAAATATTTACCTAGCGCAAGAAACATACAAAACAATGCTGACTCAATGAAGAGAAAAGACTGCTGCGCTTGCCTTTCCCAAGGATATTCAACTACAAGCAGGCGAGCAGGAAAAATGCATTTTCCACCCGGACACCGAGGGGCACCTCAGAGCAATGCGCGGGTGTGCGCAGCCTGCTCTGCAATGAGCGTAATTTGAACACCGCGAGAAAACGCGGCTCGGTACACAGTTTTCCAATTTGAATTTCTAGCTGGAAATTCCCACACTTTTCTTTAAGACTATTTTAAGGGCAGCGGAGTGGAGTAGAACAACAAAAGGAATTAGTCAGTTTATGCTTAATTAGTATTTTGTCTAGAGTTTCAGCGAAATGTCGCAATTGAATGGAAACACAGGAAGTGCTGCAAATCGTTGCATATGCCAAAGGTTGAGCCGCTGAACCGTGATCAGATTTGCACCTTGCGCTATCGCTACCTGCTACCTGCAGGCGCTGGGCACATGCTGCGGCTTTGCCTTTCGTGCGCCCTAATTGCAGTCGTAACTGAGAGCCAAACAAATCACGTTAAACAATGGCAGTCAAGTGCTGCTTCTTGGCAGGTAGCTGCCAGCAGGATATGCTTCGACTCCTGCACCGCCACCATTAGTGTTCGGTTTCAGCTGTCCCGTGGTGAGACAAGGAGATGGACATGGACATGGACACGGATTCGGACTCTGGACAGCGGGTGCACTTCTAGCACTCGTTTTGCGGTTTTGAGCACAAGTGTTCCCAGAAACCGAACTGTATGTAAATACGTCTACATTGATCGCGTGCCAGGCTCTGCTGCTTGGCCAGGCTGAGGGCAAATCAGAACTGCTGCTGTTTAAGGAGGTTACTAAATGCTAGTCATGGAGTTCAATTATAGTTTACATAGTTCATTTATAGTATAATCATAGCTGCTTCAATTTAGTAATGTTCAAGCCAACCCATATCAAAGCACATCATTAGCCAGCTATAAATAGTGTTTGTTGAGCCAGGACTAAATATTTTCCCACAAGCCCACTCGCAGGAGCAGCCTACAAGCATCCTGTCAGGAAGTGATCTTTTGATCCGGAAACTATAAAATTGCTTTGGCTGCCACAACAAAATCTGTGTGTTTGGGCTCCTGGCACGCAAGCACCACTGAAACGCCATGAAATGAACCACCTGCGACAGCCGAGCAGGAGAGCAGGCGAACAAGCATGCAGCTCAGCTCAATTGGAAATAGGGCGAGCGCAATACCTTAAATAGGGGTTTGCCAGGGGCGTGGATCGAGTCGGTCGAGTAGGGAAAATAAAAAGCGCAATTAGTGTTTGCTTTAAAATTAAATTTTAATTGGAGCTGCCGGCTCCTGGGGTGGTTGCTGAGAAAGTTTGAGCGACGCAGCTTCTAAAATTAGACATGTGCTCGGCAAGACACGCCGACTTTTGACAGTTGTCAATTGAAACATTTTCGAACATTTCGAAACACTTCGGATATATCAATTTCTCACCTCAACTGAATCACAGCGCGCAGCGCTACGGCTTCGACGAGGACGGGAACCCTCGCCTGCATTCGGGGGCGATCGTATTACCACGCAGCCTAATCCGTTTGTTGACAAAATAAATACGCGGAAATTCGGAAAAGGGTGATCCCGCCATGCAGGCAGCCGCTCTTCTCTAACTAGATACCCCTTATAATTAATTGCCTCCTCCAGCAAGCTGAAATTTATGCGCGTCAACAGCGATTAGGCGGCAAATGAAGGGGATAGACACATGCCAACGGACTACAGCCGCAGACACAGCTCCAGTTCCCGTTTCAGCTGTGGCTCCATCTCCATGTAGATGTCTAAATTATTTATAGAGAAAGGGAGTGGATCATGTAAAGACTGCCTTAAAGATCAGTTAATAGTTTCATTAGGCATACAAATCTAAGATAGGGTAAAAACTTTGTCTGAAGCTAGATATTCCAGGGCTTTATTAAAGGTAATGTAGTTACAATTAACGTATATAGAATAGGGAGTCCAACTTCGATTACTTAGTCGATTGAGTCTTTCATCTAGTAAAATCCTTATATCCTATTTAGCTTTTCTTTTCTGCTCAATTGCACTCATATCTCAAGTCAAACAGTTCTTAAGTAAGAAACAGTATGCCATACGCGCCGCAGGATATGAGCGTCGAGCGGAGAAATAAAGGAAATTAATGCACTTACTGATAGCCGCTTGGCATATAGGGAATTGCGATTTAGAAAGACGAGCTGCAGCTGAAAATGTGGGCATGTAATTTACGTGACATTTATCGCCCGCTGGCGAATAAAATGCAAACAGGATAGTCGCCAAACGCATTACACGGCTAAGCTGTGAATATCCTTTAAGTAGCAGCGAAGCTGGGCAACGACATGGCGCCATTCCCTTAACCCTTTGCCGGCTGCCAGCAGCAAACCCCCGCCACGACCAGCCGGGCAATTGGTGAAGTTTTCGCAAACATTTTGCACGACTGCCAGAGGACGGAGATAAGCTTATGTGAACTATTGCCGGATAGATAAACAAAAGCTGTGCCAACACACTCACACACACACACACAGAGATACATACACGCGGCATGTACGGCCTGCCATGCGGCCGGGCTGGGGATCGGTCAAACTTGGAGTTTGCGTAAATGATATCCCGTGGCGAAAGGATTTCCTTTATAGGCCGCTGCACACTTTAGCGACACTCAGGTCTCGGCACTCAACACTCGACTCGTCGCGATTGTCTTGCAGCCGCAACCCTTGCCGCATGTCCTGAGACGTCCTGCCCGACGTCTATTTATGTCCGTTTTGCATATTACTTACTCGACTGCTCACAGTGGGACGTTTGCTGTGTTGCGATGTGTGCTGTTGCTGTTGTTGTTGTTGTTGTGCAACTTCCTATTATGCTATTTATCATAATTTTTCAATTTAACACCGTTCCATAGAGACATTGTCCTGCATGTCCTGTGGATAGTTGCCTCAATGTTTACTTGCGCAAACATCCTTTGACAAAGTTTCCGCATTGTCCAGTTGCTTTGATGGCTTAGCCTCTACTTTCACAATTTTGCATTCTCATCGATCCATCTTTTGCTAGCTGCCAATGTGTTTGCTCAGCTCCCGTTATCCTTCAGCACAGCCGCATCTGCATCGCATCCCATCGCATCACATCGCATCGCATCGCATCGCATCGCATCGCATCCTGGGTTTCAATTCCGCGTTAAGGACTCTGTTATTAATGAGCATTTTGACACTTACGTCTTGACATTTGCACAGCTGCTCGTTTGTCTTAGGACTTGCTTACGGTCATTTCTTGAGCAAATGTTACCCCAGAGATAATAGTCAACGAGATGCAATAGCAAAAGGTCAACTGACCTCGGCCATTTGAATAAAACTGTAATTATGTTTGCATTTTACTACGGGTCACTCAATTGATCACCTAGAACCAGCGACTTGGTAATCTGAGGATAGTGTTTGCTTAGTGTTTGCATCCTGAAAACGGGATGATATGTTGATCTTAAATATATACATAATATGAAATATTTCTTATATACTCTGGAAACTTTGTGAATCAGCGAAGGTCATCATGCCAAATGCCATCAAAATAAATGGAAATATACAATGTCTCAGCTCCCATTTGCCATAGTCTAGAAACTGAATCAACTCTATCGAATAATATTTATTTAGCAATATGAGCATCCCTAATTTATCATCAGATAAGCAATTGACTATAATAATATATTACAGAGATATCAAATTTATTACTATAAATTATTGATAAAGTGACTACAATAATATATACATATCAGAAACATCAATTGTTATTCCTTACAGAATAACAGCTTATTCATTGCTTAACTCCAGTGAAAGTCTTACCTACTTCTTCAGCTAACTTTGACTATGTTGCTTAACAGCCGAGTGTAATCAAATTAATAGAGAAATTCAAATGGGTAAGAAAAACAAATAGACTGTTCTGAGCCATAGGCGAGCTAACAGTCCACCCCTTCAGGACGGCGCAGCGCAGCTCTGACCAGTGTCCAGTCTCTGGGCAGGCAGCTGCCTCTGGTGGACTTACCCCGTATGCTGGCTGCCAGAGATCCCTGGGCTGAGCCGAGGCACAATTCCCGTGCGGTATGTGCGTCTTTGTGCGGATTGTTTGCCTTCAATTTGACTACAAACCATAATTTATCTTTTCAGACGTGTTGGCTCGCTGGTCAGCCGATGCGACAATGTGAAAGGAGCCAGCGTCAAGGATTATTGATTATGCAAAGTGCCCGAACCGGACAATGGCGAGAGAAACAAAGGGCTTAAGCAAAGAAAAAGGATGTGTGTATGTAAAAAATAAAAATAAGAATAAGAATATACCAATGAAGGATAACCAAAGGGTTGCAAACTGGACAGCAGACAGAAAATTATGAAATATTCAACCAGGTATATAATAGCCGACGGAATCCATCTGAAATAAAAAGTATCCCCTTACAGGGCCAGCGCGTGTGTTTATGGCTATTAAAGAGATAATAGTTTCTGACTGACTGATGCAACGGTCTTGATGGTCAGTTTCGCTATTTTGGCTTGGTTAATTATTATCCTGCGTCCTGGCTGAGTGTGAGAAAGTTGCGCCTAATGATGCACAGATTCCGATGGACATTGCCAACTGGACACCGAGAGGTGAGCGAAAGGCTTCAGCTGTTGATGGATGCTGACGGATTAGGGCCGTAATTAATGATGTGCGCGTCTTGGGTGTGAAATCTTTCACAAATTGACCAGATCAATGGAGAGCAAAAGCTACAAAGGTGCTGCCCAAAAGGTTGACAATATGTGAACCTTCATTTCGGCATTCACTTTCCCAAGCCATCTATCACCTCCTGCTACGCCCCATTTATACTGAATTTGGAAGATAATAGCCATATGCATCAACTGTAACTCCAAATGAAGTTCGCTTATATTTCATTTGAAAATATGTATATTTAAATATTGTCAATCGAATTATTCTCCTCTGCTTTACATATATTTTTTATAAATATTGATTTATCCACTTATAACTTTTTATCCATTTAATGGATGCATCTTTAAGCTGGCTTGAGAGCAATTGGCTTTGTTATAGCGATTCATTCATTGCATATAAAATTATACATTCATGTGAAGTGCACAGATGATGAGTCTCGAGTGTCCTAAGCATTATCCTTTTACGCCTTTTGTCTGGCAAGGATAGGAGAAAAAATGCAAAAATGAGGCTAAGCCTCACTCACTACACTACATAAAATAAAGCTTATTTGTTGGCCAATCTCAGTTGTTTCTATTGCGTTAAAAATATACAAAAAGAAAGCAAGTGAACAAATTCTAAAAATTTAATAATTAATTAATAATTATATAGATTATTTATTTATAGTATTTTTCTTTTAATTTACATAATTTTAATTTATTATTTTCAGCTTGATCTCTGTTTTCCCAATATTTCCAATTGGCTGTTTATTCTCCTTTTTAGCTCCTTTTAGTGTAACGGCTCTCAAGCTAATCAAATTTTTGCATATTCAGTAGTTTGTCCACATTTCAATAGAATCTAGAATACCAAACCAATTCAACATCATCTAATCGAATCGTAACCAGTTCGTTTTGAGTCTTGCCATCGCTGCATTTTTTGTTTGGGTCCTCCAGCCGAGTATCCCAAAACTATTTAGATTTTATACGACTTAGAGAAGCGGAAGGAAACGGTAATTCAATCGAAACTCCCGACACGGACAGCTTGCGGTCAAACAAAAGAGAGAGGAGGAGAGAGAGAGAGAGAGACTGTGTGTAAGGTATAGAGCGGCGCATAAAGTAGGAAGAATTATTGCCGAAATGGCTTAAGGAAAAGATTTTCAAGATAATGGGCAGCCGGCTAATATCAATATCCTTTGACAAGATCTACGGAGTCCTCAAGCTGTGCTCATTAAACGGTATTTTTGTGGCCAGCCCGAGCCCATTGTATCTCAGAGTTTTCATCTTGTTAGCTGTGTGAGAGTGTGTGTGGGACAACGAGGGTGCACGTTAGACAACATTTACAGCTTCCTTGGCGACAATTTGCGGTTGGCCAAAGAGAAGAGCAGCAAGCGCAGCATCCATCTAGCCATCCATCTATGCCTCAACTGCCGCAGACAAAAAGCAACCTTTGTTTGCATTTTGGGTTCGGAGTTGGGTCTCGTGGGATCGTGCGGCTCCTGCAGCAGCCGCTCCTGAGTGCCTCAATGTGACAGCGCGTGCAAAAGGCGAGGGAGGGCAGTTTGGCGGCAGCTAATGTGCATCTAATATGAATATGTATCTATTGTTCGAGCCACTCAAAATGAACGGCATTGTTGCACAGCGTGGGACACTGGCGAAAACCGCAGATACACTCAGCGAAAAGTTGCTCTTAAAACTATAGTATGTGCTAATAAGCTAAAAACGCAGCTGCACAGAGAGAAAAATATTGTGGTAAGGAGGAAGTCTAGTTCGATATTCCAGTTCAGGTTATAGATGTTTGTAAAATAAATTTACAAGTATTCATATGTAGCTTAAGGAATCAAATTTAATTCAACTTGATATTTTATTCTTCGTTAAGTGTGACAAATTTAATATTTAATTTGAGTGCTAGTTTATAAATAGTAGCACGTCTAGTTTGCCTGATTAACGTGCACAACAATTGCAATTATCAATGGCAAATTCTCGACTTGGCAATCGATTTGCTGCTGTTCATGCTCAACTAAGCAGCTGCTGGACGGCGCTCTTTGGCGTCTTTAATCTCAATCGCGGTTCAGCGTAAACCTAATTGAAATTGTTCACCCTAAAAATTGATGTCACCAAAGATCGACATTTGCTGCATACAGATCAGGACCAAAAGTTCAGCATGGAACAGCAGCAGCAGCAGCAACAGCAACAGCAACAGCTGTAGTTATAGAGCTATACTTATAGAATCCAGTTAATCGCGGCATAGCAGGAAAAATAACTCAAAAGCAACAACAATCACACTTGCCGTTACTATCTATGCGACTTATATAAACCATTTGCGATTATTATGAATAAAGTACGCTGATAAGGCACTGAATCTGACGTATACACATACATACATGTATTATTATAGTTTGAGTACTTATACACTTTCTTTGAGTGCTATTTGGCTGCTAATTATGAGCGGAGGCTTTTCGGTTGAACATTTCATTTGCTATGCAATTTTGTTTACATTTGTAGACAGACAATTGACGGGCTGTCATAAACAACGAAATATGCGCTGCTGTCGGGAGGGGCGGTGCGGTTGGCTATAGGGGGTGGGGCGTGGCAGCTGGAGAGCACTTTTGATGAAAAACGAACGCGCACAAGTCGACGCTTAAAAGCAGGTCAATCGACCTCGGTCCAGCGTTCTTTTTTAATGGGGCTTATCAGTTGCTCAAAAGAAACAAAATGCTTCTTATCAACAAACTGTCTGCAGCAATAGCAGCAACAACAACACTTGAGTGGCTGCCAGCAATACATAAATATATGTATGTACTTATAAGTAAAAATGTGTATATATAATATATATACAGCTGGTAAATAGCATATGTGCTCAGATCTCTGTATATTCTGGCTCCCTTTGTAGCATATTAATTATTTTGCTTGTCTGGAAGTTTTTTTTTTTTTTTTCATTTTATTTTTTTCATTTGAATCTGCAGAAATTGCAATACGAATTTTAAAGAGGTAAAGTAAGCAAATGATACTAGAAATTATATATATGTAAATATATGGATTGATCTCGTTGGACTTCAAACCTACCGGTTATTTATAATTATAGCTTAAAGATTTGCTTATATTTTTATACAAGACAGATTGCAAATAAAATATAAAAAAAAAAAAAAAAAAAAAAAAAAAAAAAAAAAAAATAAAAAAATAAATTAAAAAAAAAAATATATATATATATAATATATACATGTATTTATATAAAATAAAATAATAAATTAATCTATACTTTTCCAAAGTCTTTGCTTCAATTTATTTAATATTTTTAAATAGTTATAAACTTTTATTTGCTATTAAAAGTTTTCAAAAATTTTTCTAACTTTATAGCTAAACATAGAATCTACTTAAAGTTATAAAAATATTATTTTGATAACTTTTGTATTAAATATTAAAATGTCAATTTGACTTAATTATTTAAATACTTCATGACTCACCATGAGTGCGTCAAAAATAAGTATAATAAAATTGGCTCATAATCAAAAATTCCTAAATGCTTGTTGAACAGCTTAACTGAGACTTTTTTCCACATTTAATTTCTGTTTAATATGTAATTGAAATGTGCTCTAAGCTGTTGTCGTTGTCGACGTTGCCATGAGTACTTATTTAATAAGCCGCAATGACAATGAGCAAATACTAAGCAGACCGCCTCCTCTACGGCCCTCCCCCCTCTGTTGCAACACCTTCCCCCTGCACTGCGTTCGTTTCATTGCTGAAAAGTTTAAGCGATTAGTGCAATTTAGCGAAAATAACACGTAAAATTGCGCGCTTCAACGCCTTTTCAATGGCACTCGAAATTCACACACACACACACACACACACATGCACTCACTCACACACTCTCACAACGTGACAAGTGCTCGTCTAATAGGCCACAGAGATAGTGACAATTGGCAAGGGCTGATGCTACGGAGCGCCCCGTTGAGCGTGGTTCGAGTCGCGTTGACTGAGGGACGGGAAACTTGTCTCACACGCCCACAAGAGTGGCAACAACCCTCTGGGAGAGTGTTAAAAACCTTATAGACAATGCCAACAATTGCAGATCCTCACAATCGGATTGCTATGCTAATCGTCTCATTCGGCTGCGTAAAACTCAATGAGCATTCAAGAGCTAGTTGAGTGTAAAGAAAAAAGAAACTCTCAATGACAGCATCCAGGTTGCTTCTTTCCTTTGTGCGAGAGGGTTGCGAGACAGTAGCTGGCAATAGAAAACAAACAAAGAGGCAGCCAAGATCTCGTAATCCTTTCAATGTGCCACTTAAGCCGATCAGGCGTGGCGAGTTGAAGACGCAAAGAGACCAAAACCCTTGCACCCGATCGAACCCTATGGTTAAGGTCTGGGACCCTGCGCGTGCAACAGCCTCCGCTTCCATTGTGGACCATTTAGTGTGCGTGTGTGTGTGTGCGGTTCGTCGGCTCTTTAACCCATTTAGGCTCGAAACGGAGTTAGCTCGACAAATTAGGGCACTCAGCATCCGCATCAGCACCATCGTCATCATCATCCTTGCGCCTTTTGGGCTATCATTGAAATCGGGTTTGGTTTTGGGCTGTTTTGTTTGCTTTTTAATGCCCGAGATCAAAATGTTTGCACCGAAGGGTTGATCTTGTTGATCTTGTTCAGTGCCTTCCTCCTCTTTGTGTGTTGGTCCATATTATCGCTCTGCCATGATATTCTCTTGGTTTGATTTATATCTGCATTGCCGATCTCGATTCGGGCTGCCCGAATGCTCAGGTTCTCCGACTGCTGTTTATTTAGTTTGACTTTTGCACTTTCATCTCTGGGTTTGCTTGTGTTTTTGTTTTTTATTTTCTCAGACTCCACGTGCCATTAGATCTTCGAGGTCGGTCGTTAAATTTTAATTGACGTGTGTGCGTGTGTTTGAGTTGTAAACTCTTTTTGATGGAGCCAATAAATGTATTATTTAATTACTTTTTGCATACAAGAATAAGAATAATATTTGTAGATATCAAATATGAATACATTTTTTGATATATTTTTGATATATTGTATTTATATAAAAAAAAAAAAAAATTGTATTAAAAATATTTATGCCTAATATTGTCTTATATTAATAGTTTCAATATTCGATATGCAACGATTAAAGGATTAATTATTTTAGAATATTTAGAATAAGTTCTCCCATCTCTCTCTCTCTCTCTCTCTCTCTCTCTCTCTCTCACTCTCTTTGCAAATCTCTTTCATCATTGAATTAGGTATTTTAAATGTTTCTCCACATATCTTCTTCCTCCCATTCCTATCCTCATCTCCATCACCTTTGCAAAGTTCAAAAGCTGGCTCGAAATTGCGTTTATGTAATCCTATTCTATTTCGAACATAATGAATCCTTTTTAGCTAATTATACAAAACACAGGCCTAAGCTGTTCTGTAAAGCTTTCGCGGGGAAATCTTTTGATTGATGTTGGCATTGTTTTGGTTTGTCAGGCCGATAAGTTATGCAACGCAATTGCGATTCGAATTACACCTGGTTGGGTTGGGCACAGACATCTGAATGCCCATACGTACATACATCTATAAGAAGGGGCGCAA